TCGGATCTCCGGGCCGCAAGGTTCCGGTTCCTGGAGTCTACGAACCGGAAGTTTGCCAATAGAACGCGCCGAGGTCGGAAAAAACGACTCATGAAGTCGTCTACAACTCCAGAGGACCCTGAGCTTCACCTTACCAAAAGATGGCTACTCCAAGCATCAACACGTAGTAAAACATTGTGGTTTTCTACTATTTTCAAGCACCTTTTTGTCCTTTGTTGTAACCAAATGAAGTAGTCCGTACAACATAGCACTCTATACTGTTACCTATAGGCATGTCGCTACCAGTCTTATTATGTTGTTAAATACCGCCTAATTAGTTATTTTGTAGCTTGTGCCAGCTGAAATTGGCTAGAGAACGCTCCATGTTGCTATGAACAACAATGCCGAGTCTTGAGCAGAAAGCAGAGCAGTAGCGTAAAGTTACATCAAACCGGAAATCAGATTATCAAAAACTGGAAATACTGACTTGTGTAACTATGTAATGAACATGTGAAAATCCGCGGTGGGTGCACCGTAAACCAGATAATCACTGTACTATAGCGACTTTCCCTGAGGCCTCCCGTCTTTTCTCCGACCCTCATCGTGTTGTGTGCCAAACAGAACGCAAAACCTTTATTCGTTTTCCAAACCACGGATGTGACGTCACTCTCCCGAGCCTGCAAGTCGCGATTACAAGAACAAAACGAACAGCACCAAAAAAGTTTGTTGACGCCATGGAAGTAGCGTGGGATAGTGGAAGCCATAGTCTTCCCACCACCATTGCCGTCATTGCCAGTTATCCTTCTTTTCTTCGGATTCCTTCAGCTGATTAAAATCGTTTTTTAACTGGTTGCCGAATTATCCCGCCTTTCTTCCTACGCTGTTCATCAAGCGCGGAACATTAGTTCAGCCTGTTTCTCTGTTAAGCCTGACTAAAATCCTTCCATCCGGTTCAAATCTAGGAGTTAAAAATTAGCAAGATCTAAACAGTGGATAGTAAAAATGTGGGCTTCAGACTGGATAAAAAGTCAATGTATGACAGCTTCTGGCAGACCCAACCACACATGCTGACGCAGGCACAAAAGGGGATATAACGCCATTGACAGGTGACCCAGTGAAATGCAGCGTTACCTGAATAAAATTACAGATTTCTCTGAGTTTGAACTTTTGGGTTAATGTAGGTACACAACTTAACTACATACATAAGAACATAGTTCTAGTGCCTTATAGACATTTTAACATTGCAACACATTGCAGAAATCCTACACATCATAAGTTTAACCATTAGCTAACACAAAAAGCACATTCTGTTTTGCCACTTCCCAAGTTCTTTCTCATTACCGAACATTTCACAAAAACTCTGCTGGCCTGACCTCAGAATGTCAGCCACTCATGAATAACGTTGCGTAACTCAGTGTTCTGTGTGGCCAGTGGAATCTGAGCTTCTGCAGATGACTGAATCCAATTGAAGCAAGCGCTCCTTTATTCAGTCTTACCCATGTTTTTGCTTGGGTATTAGCCTTCGCTCTTTCGCGTCAGAGGCCGCACGTGTCTGGCTAGCCTGGTGGACAAAACGAACGCGGCATTTGTCTTTTGTTAGTTTTGATGCGAGAGACCCCCTAGTGGCAGAAAGGTCACTAATTTTATGTCTTCAATCTCCACTATGTTAATGTAATCCTGGTTACTCTGAACACTAACTGTTAACTGTACAACTTCATTTTATGGGTAAAGTAAACGCACACAGACATCCTCTTCAGTGCAACTAAGTCCCTTTTAATGACAACCACAATTTAATTGAAATAATATGATTAGCGTAAATTTAATTTTGTCAATCATTCCAATTAAGTTAAACATCCCCTCCAGACATGTATTAAGACATATATAGAAATAGTCTGCTTGGAACAATAATGTGTGTATAATGCTGATTTCTGACTGGAGGGGGACTTTAAATTATATAATCCACAAAATAACAGACATGTCATCACCTGACATATCCATTATCGTGAAACTGAAGACAGCCAAAGTATTAACTCTTTGTCCCTATACTATCCAGCCTACAGTGCGTACTGAACATCAGTCACAGACGGAGAAAATGTTAGTTGACCCACCACTACTTTTCTTAATTTTGGTATGACTGGGTCAATACTGACCAGCATATTAAGTGAAATAGAGAAATGATGAGTTTTCAAGAGTATCTTCACTCAAATGCCCACTTGTACATCGAATGTTAGTTTGGTTGCTGTAATAGTTCCTCTTGTACATACTGGCCACAATGGATGGATGGATGATAGGGGACAAAATCCTTAGTCTCAGCCTGTGTAAAAAACATTCTAATGTGCAGCTGAATATTATGAGGCCTCAGCAGCTGAGGTTAGTCAAAACAGTGTGGAGTAAGTGTGATCTTACAAAGTGAATGTCTTACAAAGTGAATGTCCCTCTTTTTGTTTTCCTAGCTGTGCCGCAGCAGGGAATTTCATTCTGCCAAAAAAGGGACGTTGGTGGATGTTGTCTAACGCAGATTGCTGAAGCTTTATATTAGCATCAGCCGAACACTAGAATGCACTTTCACACAGAATCAGGACTGTGGGTTTTGTCCACTATCACTTACACTGACATTTCTGAAAGAGGGATGTTTTTGGAAAAAACGACAGACAGAAAAGACAGATATTTTGTTAGTTAGTTTGTTTTATGTTGGTAGGCCAACCCTGTCTCTTGGAAATGACGTCAATATACGTCTAATAAGAGGTGGGAAGTAACGAAGTACAAATACTTGGTAACTGGACCTAAGTAGATTTTTCAGGTATCTGTACATTAATTGAGTTTCTTTTTCCGACAACTTTTTACACCCTCCATTTTTATACAAATACCAGTACTTTCTACTCCATACATTTTCAAAACAGGATTGTTACTTCAGTTTTAATGCATTTGAGTGGAGTTGTTGATTGTTATTTTTTGCATTAATGCACGCCAGTGGATATCACACATGACAGACAAAAGACATAAAAGATGAGACAGGGAGACTCGACCCTGTTTGAGGTTAGCTTTGCACAGAAACGGAAGAAAAGAAAAAGAAGAGTAAAGAAGTTGAATCAGTTCATCTGCTTTTATTGGAGTATCTGTACTTTTACTTGAGTAAAGAATGTGGGTGCCTTTGCCACCTCTGAATCTAATTTTCAACAGCAAATATATCTGAGAAATGTAATCCTGACTAAACATTTTTTTAACATAATTAGGGAAAGAAAATGTAACTTATATGGCAAGTATCAATACTTCAGGTTGGATAGCGAACATGCCTTCCAAATTTAGAAACTTGTACTAATTTATAAACCAGGTACTTTTTTAGTTGAGGTATGTAAGGTTACCTAAACTTTTTACTTTAACAAGAGATATGCATTGTTTTGCACAGTTCATACCCTACCCCAGAAATAAAAATGTATTCTATCATTTGATAAAGAAAAATATTTTGCAGATTTTTGTCTCAATTTGTCTTCAATCTCATTTTGTTAAAAAAAACTGAGAACATCATATCATGAATTGTATCAATCATCATTGTGAGTTGAGTGCATCACTACATCCCAGTTATCAATTATTGTCAATACAGAGTTAAAATGTGCACATTCTAGCAATAAATAGAATTATATAGTATATTCTATTACTACCTTCAATTATTTCTCATATAAAAGGGGGGAAAAATCAATCAATCAAATCAGAGCTAGACATTAACTTAGAAAACAGGAAGACTTCTTCCTCTTCTAACTCATCATGGATAACTAGAAAATATAGACTGCAATAGAAAAGTAGTACTGCCTAATTATAGTAGATATCACTTTGACCTACGGCGACTGAGTTCTTAGGTTTACCATTTGTGGTATTGCTTTAGTACTAAAGTTTAGTACTTTCTTCAAGAATGCAAGTTGTATAAAGAAAGCCTGTAGAAGAATGTTGGTTCACTTGCAAGTGATATGATAAAACTTCAGAGAGGACACTTTCTGTTTTGAGTGGCCTTTATTAGAGAAATTTCCAACACAGGTTATTTTCAAAAAATTTGACCAATGATTGCTGATCAATTAGAAACCAATAACAGCTTTGTTGTTTAACTGCCTGAAGTGAAGGACTGGCTGGGGTTTTTTCTTTGAGAACAGACTTGCAGCTTCTGTTGACTGAGGCAAAATGTTTTTTTTTAAACCAAATAGCAACTTGATTCAGGTCTGCTTTATACTAGGAGCTTAAGTGCTCCTGGCATGGAGAGCTGCACATGATTCCAACTTTGATCTCAGATAACTACATCTGCCTCAGTCTTGACTTATCAGACAGCTTTAATCTGATGCCTTAGCTGCAGCACCAGTATGTGGAACAAAAGGCTGTTTATGTCTGTAGCCAGCCTTTAAAATGTAAGGTTGGTCTTCCTCTGCTTTCACAGAGCTGTGCAGGTCTTTGTCACATTTGATCCAATTGAAGCCCCCCACCCCAGTTCTCTCTCTCTGCTAATGCTGCGTGATGTGTTGCAAAGTCAGTCAATGTATGCATGGTGTGAGGGCATGTATTATTTAAGAAGCTGCTACCGTTTAGTGATTTGAATGTTCGGACATCCT